GAAAGAAAAATAAACTGGGGCCTTTTGCATACAAATCCAGATTCTTTTTTTCTTTCAAAGACAGACACCTAGGAGCATGGGCCTGCAGGTCTGCTAGTAGTTGTGCACTAGAGCCTATGATGTTGCTTCCATGAGCTCAGACTTACGCTCCTGGGTCACTGGCCCTATTTCATTCTCTCCCTGAGACTGAGGCCATTTCTTGTTACCTTGGCCTTCTTCTCTTTTCTTTCTTTATTGTTATTGTAGAGAAACATTTCTGTCCAACTCATGAGAGAAAACAGAGATCTTTTCCCTGATCATCTCTCTGCTTCACTGACCTTTGTAACCTGCTTGGCAGACAGTTTTGCAAAATGGGAATTATAATGTGATCCACAAACAAGTGGTTGGTGAATTTTTACATTTCAAATATTTTGGAAGGTAGAAACCATGTGTTAACATAGGCATTCAAAACTGGGTCCAAACCAGTTTTGATAACTGATAACATTCATCAGCCTGATGTTACATCTTGTAATTCTCTTCTTGGGGTTCTGATAATCTATAATGGAAATAACAATAATGAAAGTCTCTAATATTCCATTTCACTTAGGATGTGCCAGACACCACCCTTTATACTTCAAACATGTTTTACTCCCATTTTCCAGGCTGCAAAGCCAAGGTTTGAAAAGAAACAACTCCAGAGAACAATGTTCTATTGTCTTCTAGGTGTGGTGGTTATTTTTCAGGTGAGAGAAAACCAGGAAGAAGAAATAAGTCATACATCAAAAGTTATTACATGCCAAGGTTATTAGGTTGTAGGATTAAATATAGGTCTAGGCTTTGAAGCTTCTTTTATAACAAGCTGTATTTCTTGATTTTCAAAAAAGTAGTCTTTACTTAACTTCTACTAGGAAATATATTTCTCACTGGAAAACTTAAAATTCTTGAAGAAAAACAATGCTTTTGGGTCAGCGGGTACTGCTGAGTGCTAAATAATTACATACACTGAACCTGACTGGTAAAATAGTGAGGAGCTACAACTGATAATACATTTTTGGGTACATTGATGAAGATGTATCACTGGAAAAATGGATAATTTGTTTTTGTTTGTTGTCCAAAATAAAATATGCAGTCTCACTCAGAATGCTATATGTTATTGTTATTGATGATACTTGCTAAAAATTATTTATGATACTTGTTATTTATTTAATTGCTAAAATAAAATGTAGAGACTATATAAAATCTTCATAAATTGTCACTAATTTTAGTATTTCCCCCCAATTTGTTATAATCCTCTTTTCCAGAGCAGTGAACTGAAACTCAAAGCAAGGGAGTGACTTGCCTAAGAGCACCACCCATCTATTAAGTCTTAGAAGAATGGCTTGTACTCTGGCTTTGTAGATCATTCCTACTCTTTCTATTGTACATGCAGTTATACCTATATACTATGTATATTTTCTGTGCACAATATAATACATACATTTATTGGTTTAATATTCATTCATTCATTTCCTCCTCTGTACAATAACTGATAGTATCTAGGTTTCTGTGAGAGTTTAATGACATAAATCACATAATGCATGGAATACATAAAACATTCACAATTTAACTTGTAGAAGATGCTTAATAAATGTTAGGGCTTTAAAAATGTATCTTGTTGAGTATGTGCCAGGAACTGGACCAGGGTGATGAGGAAACTGGGCTGTAAGACACTTCATCTTTGCTTAAAGGACTTGCAATTATGCACAAGAGATGTGTGTTGGAATGGATTTTATAGTAGGTACAGCATAATGTGACAGATATAACAGTAGCTATGAATTCACAGGAAGAGAAACAGCATGGAGAGCAAGCTGACCCTTCTCCCTGTGGTGAAGGAATCCTCTATACTTCCGTCATTAATGTGGTGCACATCCCTTGAAGGTGATATTGTCAAAAAGACTTGGAACCAGTTGATTAAAAAATGCTTTGATCCCTTTCTCAAGAAAAGAATCACATTTAGTTAAACAAACAAAAACTATTGCATAATTAAAATACGAATATTTTTTAACAAAGACTCAAATTGTATCTAAAGAGAGATCGAGATCAGCGTCTGAGGTAACTCTGCACTTCCAAGTGGGTGAGGCTGGTGGAGATGAAAGTCATCATTCACAAGGGAGGTGAAATTATTCCATATCCAAGGGAAAGCCTGTTCAGCAGGTGTGGGAATGACCAGTGATGTACTGGCTCTCATGGAAGAGAGCCTGTCTATTGGGATTTGACTCTACTTCTCACACAGAGCCAGATGCAGCAGCCCGCTATGCCAGGAGGAAAGCTTCAGTGGAAACTGGCCCATATAACAACAGGATACCAAGTTACTTACAATAGCTACTCTAGTCTTTCATTTTATAGCTATGAACCTATCATAGAAGGTCAGAAGAACTTTGAAGAAAGGCAATTGCAAGGAAAAGAAACATCACGACAAGTGAAATAGTGGAACCCAATAGCAGAGAATGTCAGAAGTAAAACATATTAAAAATGAAACATGCTAGCAGCTGTGCGAGATTAAAGACTATTACACTTGTGAGATAAGAATCCTGCCATAAAATGCAGTAACTAGAACTCAGGAGAAAGTTCTTACACATTAAAGCCATAATCTCAAAAATCATGTACAGGGTTAAGAAACAATTCCATGAACAGTGTTGAAGACTGAATTAGTGATCTAGAAAATGAAGTTAAGATATTCTTTCAGAGCAGAGATCAAAACAACAGAAATAAATTAATAGAAGATAGAGCCCCCTCAATAGATAATTGTCTATCTTTTAAGGATTTTTTATTAGCATACATTAGTTATGCAAGAGAGAGTTCTTGTAACATTTCCATTCACATGGACAGTGTAGCCATCTCCTTCACTCCTTGATCAGACTTCTTATCTTTTCTTCTTAAAACAACTTCAGCTAGTTTTATTGTTTTGTTTTGAATATGTATATAAAACACTTTAAGTTTATTCATTCTCATTCACCCTCTCCATTCATCTTTCATCCTCACTCCCTAGGTCATATGGGGATTTTTTAGATGAAAGAAAACAGAAAAGATGGTTATGGAGAGGGTTTTGGTATGGATAGTTAAATAAACACGAATAGGGATTTTGAAAGAAGGTAAACAGAAATAATGGAGAAACAGCAGCTATGCGCATATGAGCATATGAAATGATGCTGATCAAATGAACTCTAAGAAATGGAAGCAAGAGGCTTATTATTGCACTGTTTGCAGTTATTTTCCCCCTTCAATTTATCCCCCTTTTGTCACTGTTTTTGATTTCTGTACCCTTTGTCTTGTATATACATTTTTCTTGTTTGGGGAGGGGAAAGAAAAGCACAGAAATGGTGGGTCAAAGGGTGAACCAACTCAGCAGTGACATTCACTAGACACTGTGCTGGAAATGAACTATAGAACTTGAGGAAGAAGGCGGTCAGGAGGAGAAAAACTAGGAGAAAATGGGGAAGGGTGACACTTTATAAGAAATGTACTTATTACTTCACTTATGTAACTATAACGCCTCTGTACATGACCTTTACAATAAAATGTTTTAAAAGAGAAAAAAAGAAATAATGGAGAAAGAATAGAATAAATAATCGAATGTTATTTTCCCAGGTTAAAGGAATTTGAATCTTCAGGATAAAAGTACTCACTCAGTGTTTACTTGAATAAAAGCAAAAAAAAAAAAAAAAGATACATGTCCTAGTGAAATTTCCTAATTTAAGGCAAAAAACCCAAAATCTTCAATATTTCCAGAGGAGAAACAGAACAGATTATCTACAAAGATGTGAGAATACTTCTTTTAAACTTTTGACATACTCACTGCTGAAAGCCAATGAGACAGTGTCCTTTCCTCCTAACCTCGGGTCATTTCCTCTGCAGGAATTCTGTAGGTCGTGTGCTTCCTAGTCTAGATTATTACCATGTTGCTCATGATGGTGGCCAATTCTCTGGTAGTCAGTGAGGGAGGAAAAAGAGCTATCTTGATTATTAGTAAAATCCACTCACAACATACAATAGTTATGGGTCTTGGTATACCAATGAAAATCATTGGGATTAATGAGTTAGTTAGAAATAATATAAATAATTTAGAGTAAGAAGGAGACAGCTCTCAGAAATCTCTTGGGGCAATTTTTCTCCTGAATCTATAAACCATTGAGTTTTTTTGCCAAATCCATTCAGTTATTACTTGTTATTATGCTTGCATCCTTCTACTGCTGTGCTTACTTGCACTTTTCTTAAAGCTTTGTCCAAATGGACATTTTAGGTTTTTTTTTTGTTTTTTTTTTTTGTGGAGAGATGTCTTCCAAGGTGATAGAGCCAGAGGGACTTTTTTAGTAGTTCTGTGCCTTCAGAGAGAAGCAAGTAAGGTTGTCATGTTAAAATGAATGTGAGAATTATATGGATCTTCTTGCTCTAAAGGTGATGCTCTTTTCTCTTACCGTGTACCATGTAGTTCTTAAGTGTGACTCCAGATGAATTGGGGCTCAGGGACCTTATGGTTGTATTTAACCTTAATGGTCATTTTATAAGCATTTCAGATGAAGACATACAGCTCAGAACTCCAGGTTCTGCTTATGGCTGCCACTAGCTGCCTAACTTTAAATAAGCTACTGCAATGCCCTGGGTTTCAATAAACTTGCCTTTACAGTAACAGGCCATGAAGGTACTGCCCTCCTGTTTTGCATAGTTTTTACTCCTTTTTTGTACTATTCTTTTTCCAAAATTAAGTATGCACAGAACCATCTTCTGTGGCATATTTTGTGGAATATGAAAATTAACTTCCCATTCTTCTTATAGCTGCCAGATCTTTGGAAGTGGGAATAACAAAATATTCAAGGGAACATTTAGTGTGGTGATGAGAGGTGAGAGTTGTTTCTCAGGGTTAATGGACCCTTTGCTTTGTCTTAAGACACAGCAATTCCAACCCCTGGTTAGTCTGAGTAAATGTCTCTCAAGTAAGAGTCTTGATCTTTTTCTGTTACAAATGTGGCCTCTTCCTTATTTAGCTGCATTACAGGCACTGAAGAGAAAGAAGAGGTTTGAGAAGCAGCTCACTCAGCTTGATGGCACCTTGTCCACCATTGAGTTCCAGAGAGAAGCCCTGGAAAACTCCCACACCAACACCGAGGTGCTGAGGAACATGAGCTACGCAGCAAAAGCCATGAAGGCAGTTCATGAAAACATGTGAGTGATGGCGCTCTCCTTTGACTGGTGGCTGCCGGCAGTATGGGGAAGAAACTGAAATTATGTGGTGGTTTGGGCAAGACATGTCTCACTCACTTGAGGCTTTTTAAAAAAAATCTATTGATGGAAAGTGACAAAAAGCAAGAAAGAAGGAAGGGAGAGAAAGTGGAAGGAAGAATATGGGAGAGAGGAAGAAAAAACAGGAAATGAAAATGTGTTCATTTTTGCCTTCAATTCCCTTATGATTGTCTGAACTCTATTTGTAAATAATTTAATTCTATAATTTTAATAAGACTTTAATGCCAACATCTGGGAAGATTTTGGAGCCAGAGTACAGTGGTAGACTTTTTAGAATCATCTAGAGAGATGCTAAAGGGAACGTAGATGCCCAGATTCCTTGCTCAAGAATAGGGTTTGGTCTGCTTTCTCTGTATTTGATGTCCATATAATTTGTGGAGGGGAAGGGAAAAAACAAATCGTTTAAATAGGGATACAGGTGGACCCATTGCAACAATGAGATGTACAAGTCATTATGTCGAAAACGAACTTTACAATTTTGGTGGGGGGGGAGGATTGGGTAGGGGGTAGGGGGGAGGATGGGAAGGGATAGGAAGGGGAAACAAAGGAGGAGGCTACAATGCTTGGTAAGAAATGTACTCATTATCTTGCCCATGTAATTGTAACCCCTCTGTACAGTATTTTCATAATAATAAAAAAAAAAGAATAGGGTTTGGCCAGGCGCCAGTGGCTCCGCTGTAATCTTAGCTATTAAGGAGGCTGAGATCTGAGGATCGAGGTTCAAAGCCAGCTGGGACAGGAAAGTCTGTGAGACTCTTATCTCCAAATAACCACTCAGAAAACTGGAAGTGATGCTATGGCTCAAGTGGTAGAGTGCTCACCTTGAGCTGAGGAGCTGAGGGACAAGCCCCATGACAGACAAAAAAAAAAGATAATAATAATTAAATTTAAAAAATAAGGCTTGTACTTTTTGTTTTTAGGCAAGTGTTTTTTTTTTCTTCTGGTACTAGGGATTGAACCCAGGGCAAGCATTCTACCTCTTGAGTCAAACTCTTAACCATTTTTGTTTTCTTAACTAAGTTCCCTAGCCCATTCTAGCTAATATTTGTGAATCACTTACACAAAATAATAATTATATTTCATAGCTTTTAAAATTATATTTATATTATCTTTAAGTAGTTGTACAAAGTGGTTATCATTAAACAAATCAGCTTATAAGTACAATGCATCTTAATTGATATTACCCCTTTCATCATTTTTCCCATCTCTCCCAACTCAGTTCTTCCCCTCATTTTCCTAGTTTCACAGGATATTCACAGGATATATTGAATGTTATTGTTGTAAGGTGAATTATCCCAGAAGCCACGTTTTGGAAGATGGAATATTGGAGTCTTTATTATACAGTTAGCAGGCCGCAGGCAGCCATTATTACAAAGGCCTGCAGTCCCCAAATACACATCACACAGCTCGGAAACAGGTTAGAGAGAAAGAACAAAAACAATACCAACAAACCAATTCAGCTCCGATGGAGAGCTGAATTGGGATACCACGATGACTGAAGACCAGCCAGGCGAAAGGACACAGGACATGATCACGGAGACACATGTGGCATGGCGTAATGGCACCTGTGCTGGTCTGGGCCTAAATAGGCCGTTACAGGGAGTAGGTCCACAGGAAATTCCCAGTCCCAGACACTAGACTGACAGAGTCAGTAACCTATCAACCAAGTGCCTGCCCCTGCCTCCAGGGATCTGGGCATGCCCATCACCTGGGAGGCAGGTGATGGGCGGGGTATCTCCTTCTCCCAGCTTGAAGACAAGGTGCCAGACCCTATCATCCACCATGTGGCTATGGTGCCAGCCAGACCTGACCTCCTTACTTCATTATGGCTGCATTTTCCCCCTTCCTCCCTTCATTTGTCTACTTTCCTATTTCCTCCCGTTAGCCTCCAGTAAGAATATATACATTTTTTAGTTTATAATCTTAGTTGCACAGCTGATTATACCATGGATAAATTGCTTACCCTGATTTGGTTTCTCTGTTTATAACTTGGAAATAACAAGTGGTACTTAAGTTCATATGGAGATAATCGAGATAATCATTGTGATTCTTGGTTTTGTTTTTTGTGGATCATGGGGCTTGGACGCTATCCCTCAGCTCTCCAGCTCAAGGCAAGCGCTCTACCACTTGAGCCACAGCACCACTTCCTCATTGAGATTCTTTGATTACTTTTTAAAAATATTTTTTATAAAGATACTGTACAGAAGGTTACAGTTACATGAGGAAGGTACATTTCCTATCAAGCATTGTTTTCCTGCCTTTGTTTTTCTCCTACTATCCCTCCCCAACTCCTCCCTGCCTCCACTCCCCCGCAAATTTGCAAAGTTCTTTTTCAACATAAAGTCTTGTAGGTCTCATTGTTAAAATGAGTCAACCTGTATCCTTGTTTTAGCATTTTGTTATTTCCCTTTCTCTCCCCATATTAGAAAAATGTATATATATGATGCAGGACACAGGAATCAAATACAGTGAAAACAGGGGTTATACCATGGGGGAAGAACATACAAAAGAAGCAAAAAAAAATCACATAGTTGATAAAAAAACAACAGTGACAAAGAAAAACACCTCTTGTGTCCCTATCTTGGGATTCATTTCACTTAGTATCATCTTATATGGTCATATGTACATAGCTTTTGACTTTTCCTGCTTGTCTGGTAAGATTATCCTAGATGTAAACTAGTTATTGCAAGTAAGGGAAACCATGGGACCTATGTTTCTTTGGGTCTGGCTCACTTCACTTATTATACTTTTTTCCAAGTCTTTCTACTTCCTAACAAATGGGGTGGTGTCATTCTTTCTGTTGGAGGCATAGAATTCCATTGTGTGTGTGTGTGTGTGTGTGTGTGTGTGTGTATACATTTTCTTGATCCATTCATCTACTGAGGGGCATCTGGATTGGTTCCATATCTTAGCTATGGTGAATAATGCTTCAATAAACATAGTTGTGCTGATAGCTTTGATACTTTGATTATTGAATTCTCACTTTGTTCCTGGAACAAAAAGTAATCACTCAATAATCAATATTCCTTGAGGTAGTGGAATTGGCAGTAGTTTGGCTTACTTTTGCAGTGGGAAATAAATGCCTGGGACTGGTCCTTCCTGATATGGTATATTGATCATGGAATCCTGACCAAGGGAACACAAGAGTGATGCCTGAGGCATGGGAGGCAAATTTTATTGTGGGATGGAAAAAGATGGGCAGTGAAAGCAAACTTGATAACATTTTCTTGCCTTGGTAGCTCACTAATAATCAGCGGCCATTAGGGCAACTGAGAGATCATTAGATTCATTATCAAACTCAAAATCTTCTCTTGTGACTGTAAACTGGGTACCAAAATGTATTGCCATGCCAGCCTTTCCCATAGCATAGCAACATCATATCATTGTGTTCCTTTGGCACTTCCATCTACAAACATATTTTACACAAATGTCCTATGCTTTTTGTAATAAATGTATTTATTATAACATAATAAGGATTGGAGATAGAGTGTAGTGGAGAATGGTAAAAGCATTTTTATTATTATTTTATATGTGTGCTTATCTTGTGGCTTGAACTCAGCTCAGTACCTGGGCACTATCTGGGAGCTTTTTTGCTCATGGCTAACATTCTACCACATGAGTCATGGCTCTACTTCTGCCTTTGTGCTGATTAATTAGAGGTAAGAATCTCAGGAACTTTTTGCTTGAGTTGGCATTAAACCCTTTAGATTTGAGCCTCCTGAGTAGCTAGGATTACAGGCATGAGCCAATAGTGTCTAGCCAAAGCATTATTTCTTATTAGCACATAAAAATATGTTAAAGTACTAAGCTTCTCTAGTTTATATAGTCTGAGGTTAGAAAATTTTAGTTCTCCTAGGCTCAGGTTTTTCAATTGTTAGATCATTTAATAACAAGGGACATAGTCCGTTTTTTAAAAAAAACGCAATCACTTTGGTCCAGAGTTGAAGGAATGATTCAAGTTATTAAAGAAACAGTTCAGAGGTCGGCTTAGAAATGGACTTTGAAGTAGCTGTCTATCCTGGCTGTGTGGCTTCCTGCATCTTTTGCTGAAGTTGCTGCTTCTTTGAGTGCAGTCAAAGGAAGTGATGCCGTAGCTCAAAGGGGTAGCGTGTTAGCCTTGAGCAAAAGAGCTCAGGGACAAGTGCCTAGGTCCTGAGTTCAAGTCCCATGACTAACACCCCCCAAAAAAGTTAATCTTAGTCATGAGTCATGGTGGTCCTTAGAGATCCAGGCAAATCCCCTGCAGAGTTGATGTACAGCAGAATATATCTAAATTTTACTTATGTTCTACTAGACAAAATTTCAAGTGAGTCTATGAATATGAAAAAATAATTTATCATGTAGTGAGTGACTCTCAAAGGTAATGGGTACTTACTTAATATTTAAAATATGTGTGCATGTTCAGGGTTAAGTTTTTTGAAATGCAAATTATAATCAAAGTTGATAAATACTATTATCAGGATTTTTTATTGTGGTACAGAAATCACTAAGTGACTATGTTAAGATGATTCTTTTTTTTTATGACATTATATCTAGATTCATTATTGTACATGAAAATCTAAAACATTTTCAAAAAATATTATTTCCCAGGGATCTGAACAAAATAGATGACTTGATGCAAGACATCACTGAGCAACAGGATATCGCCCAAGAAATCTCAGAAGCATTCTCAGAACGGGTTCAATTTGGCGATGGCTTTGATGAGGTGGGTGATGATATAAAAGGGACAGTATCTCTCAGGAAGTATTGTCCCTGCAATAAAAGGTAGCTCCTGTCCTATACAATAGGCAGGTCTCTTAATTACTTCTTGCATGAACGCTATTTGTTGAGAACAAACTTCCCATAGGAGGGATAGCTCTGATTTAAAGAAAAGATTAATAGAGTTTGGTAAACAGCCTTCTAATTAAGTTTTCAGCTATTAAGAAAAAAAAACAGCATGTGACTATATGAAGTTAGTGACTTTTGGTGTTTAGAGTGTAAATGGCCCCATTATGAGGCATCTTGTGTTCACACATCTGGACAAGGAAAGCAGGCTGTGTCCCTGCAAGGAATACATATCATTCTCTGTGTCTGCTAAATTAGAGGGTAGACTGCCTCTGTTTATTATGCAGACTGTGAAACAAGATAGGCTTGGAGTGTTATTATTAACACACATATTCCATTTAGATTAATCAGTCTAATAGTACAGGCAGACTGTAATTAAATGGTGGTGTTTGCACTGTGAATTTCACTGGTACTCAAAGCACACATGAGTAGGAGCAGGACGTGTTTAGAAACCCTTCCAAATGTTCCAGTAACACAGCAAAGAATCCAAGTTTCTGCTTTTATGTGATAGTAAACAAAATACATCCAGCAAATAAAGTGTGACTCCATGTAATCCTACAAAATGACAGTTATCACCTATTTAAAATGGTATGGACCAGAGTTTGGCAAAAATAGAATGTGCCAGCCAAATCATCCTATGGCCAGTTTTTTTTTTCTTTTCTTCATTTTTGGTGTGTGTGTGTGTGTGTGTGTGTATGTGCATGCAGCACAGTGGTCCTGGTGTGTGTGTGTGTGTGTGTGTGTGTGTGTGTGTGCGTGTGTGTGTGTGTGTGTGTGTGTGTGTGTGTGTGTGTGTGTGTGTGTGTGTGTATGTGCATGCAGCACAGTGGTCCTGGGGCTTGAACTTAGGGGCTGGGAGCTGTCCCTAAGCTTCTTTTGCTTAAGAATAAGGATCTACCACTTGAGCCAGAACTCCACTTCTGGCTTTGTTGGAGGGTAGTTAAGTGGAGATAAGAGTATCACAGACTTTCCTGCCCAGGTTGGCTTTGAACAGTGATCTTCAGATCTCAGCCTCCTGAGGAGCTAGGATCACAGGCATGAGCCAGGGCCTGGCCTCATGGCTTGTTTTTGTATGGCCTGTAAGGCCAGGTAATTTTTCTTTGTTACGATCCATCTACAATCAATTCAGTTTTGATACCCAATCTCTTTCTGAGGGGAGTTGATCTCCACCCAAGGACTCACAGAGCTCAGTAGATATGAACTGCTTACATTAGCTCAGACCTGGTATTGGAAGTTCTCAAGTAACTGTTGTTTGGATACTGTGTTTGGATAGGGAATTGTTTAAGGTTTAACCCTGGGATCATTGTTGGAAAGATGAGTTTGATGAACCCAAACAAACACAATTTATGAAACGAAAGAAGTGTTTGATGAACCCAAACAAGTACAATTTATATTGACTTTGATGATTTACAAAGGAACCACAATATCTCTAAATCTTTTTTTGTATGCACCGTAGTTTTGCTGTGCTTGGATGTTTTTTTTAATTTTAGTAGTATTAATCCAATAAAAATATTTATTTTCTACAATTAGTTTCATGGGTTCTCATCAGGAGAAGAGAAAAGAATGTAATGCAATAATGACAGGCAAGGTGTAAATTTCTCAGAAACTGAGGAGATTATATATTCAGCTAGCACAAATTACTTGAATGGCTGTTTACTGAAGTATTATAAGATTAACTACAACAAATTTGCACAACCTCAAATATTCATTTTTAATCATTGCTCAGTGTTGCAACAAAGACTTAGTTTTAAAATAAATATTCCATTTCACTGGGTTCTCACATATCAATTGGGTAGCAGATGTTCTCATTATTGTGTTTAGGGAAACCCACTTCTTGAAACGTTAGCTCTGTAATTCTTTCTTTCTCCTGTGTTCAGGATGAGTTGATGGCAGAGCTTGAAGAATTGGAGCAAGAGGAATTAAATCAGAAGATGACAAATATCCAGCTTCCAAATGTGCCTTCCTCTTCTCTTCCAGCACAGCCAGCTAGAAAGCACAGTATGCCCTCCTCTGCACATCCATCATCCCAAGCAGGTCTGCTACCCAGCACCATTACCTAGGTTCCCATAATTCCTTCAATATAACCAAGCCGATCACTTTACTTATATTTCACTTACTAAATAAATTTGTTTTGGAGCAGGTATTGGGGCTTGATTCAGGGCCTGGGTGCTGTCTCTGAGCTATTATGTTCAAGGCTAGCATTCTACCACTTGAGCCACATCTCTAGCCAGCTTTTTGCTGGCTGATTGGAAATAAGAATCTTATAGGGCTGGGAAGGCGGCTCAGTGGTAGAGCGCTTGCCTTGCATGCTCAAGGCCCTGGGTTCGATTCCTCAGCACCACATAAGCAAAAAGAAAAAAGCCGGAAGTGGCGCTGTGGCTCAAGTGGTAGAGTGCTAGCCTTGAGCTGAAGAGCTGAGGGACAGCACCCAGGCCCAGAGTTCAGGCCCCACGACCGGCCTCCCCCCCCAAAAAAAAAGAATCTTATAGACTTTCTTGCCTAGACTGGCTTTGAACCTCAATCCTCAGGTCTCAGCTTCATGAATACCTAGGATTACAGGTGTGAGCCACTGGTGCCAACTTTCATAAATGTATTTTTGTATGTAATTCATACCTGCTTTTTTTCATGGTGAAACTATGAGTGATACTAATGACTAATTTTTAAACATCACTTTTATGTTTCAGCCTCGTCTAAGAGAGCAGAAGAGGACGATGATGAGTTCAAACAGTTAGCAGCTTGGGCTACTTAAACTACAATGGATTTTTTTTTCTTCTCCTTTGGATACCAAAATGAACCAATTATTCATAAAAAAATGTTTAGTTTTGCCAAATTTAAAAGTAAACAGTGACTTTATTTTATATTCATCCTCAGTTAATATTGTTTTTTAAGCTTCAGAAGGAAAAGTTAGGAAAGGACTTCCTAGTAGGATGGGAGAGGAGCCTTGCATGCAGATGGGGGGCAGGGTGTTTGGAATTTCTGGTTTTGGTCCATAGTTGATATTCTGTATATATTTGTGCAAAGGAATTGAATTCTGCTGATATATTAGACATATAGCAATTTATAAGCCATTTATGCAGCATACTTAAAGGATAGCTGGGAAAATTTCTATGTGAAGGTAAGTTTGCCAAGTGCGTCCATATCACCCCAGGTAATGTAAATACCCCAGGAACAGACTCTTTAGCCTCTCTTAGAAGAGGCTTCTTGTAGAGAAGTCTTGTATGAGTCTATACATGCATAGCTTCACTTGAGTTTTGCTGTTTAAAATCTTAAAGCAGCTCTAATTGACATTTATTATGCCAATTAAGCTTGGAATGGGGCAATAGATGCACTTCCCAAAATGTCTGAAAGCTCTAATGGTTTCCACCGCTGAGTGAGACTCTCCTGGGGGTAATTGAGCCACTTAGGAGCTGTATTGCCACTTTGAGGCCATTATGATGCTGTTTTGGCTTCATCTGTGCCTGTTCATTCTCTACTATTTTGTGTTCTCTTGTACATTTTTTAATACTTCACAGAATACACGCTGTAATGTATATAAAATGATTGGCAATTAAACATTTATCTTAAAATTTTGGCCATGATTATTTTTTCAAGGAAAATAAATTATAAAATGATTCACCCTCTATAATGTATGAGCATACAATTACAAATGTTGTTATATAAAACACCCAGGTATTCTATCCATTTATTTAGTGATAGTGGAATACAAAGACTACTAGTCTCAAAGATTTCAGTCTGAGAGTCCTGGGTTCCAGTCCCTGCCTTGTCATTTGCACAATGCCATAAACTACCTGAGTGCTGGTCTTAGTACTGCACAGTTTAAGGGGTGGACTTGATGACCCTCTAATGATTCCATTAGGTGGTTTGCATATGCTGTTTTGTTTTCTTGGGAATCTTCCTGCTCTACAAATCACTAATTCCACAGCTTTCTAATTCCTTAGATCCTGGTTCAAACGCCCTTTTTCTTGGGAAACTTTTCTTGATTCCTGGTCTAAGTTATGTCTTCCCATTATATATTATATCCCCACTATATATTTTATTCACCACACTCTGCTCCCTCTCAGACCATTTTTCATGATTTATATTACATATTCACTTGAGCAATTACTTAACTATTGTTGTTTTTCTCTGCTAGGCTGCAGTAACCTGAGGGCAGACACCATTTATTTTGTAGTTCAATAGTTCATTCCTAGTTCTCTGCCATTTTTCAGGTACAGCAGGCATTCAATCAATATTTATTAAATGAACCACAATTAAATTTTATATCTTTTGGACTCTGGCAGACTAATTGGAATTAGACTTACCTCTGCTCTTAAATAACCAGAAACCGGACAAAGTTGATATAAAACAACCGTTTTCAGATATTCGATGATAATGACTGCATGGTGATTCCTAAGCGAAGGAGATCAATGGCGTAGGAAAGGGGAACCCAGACGGCCCCGTTTTCTTGCTGGGTTGCGGGAAGTTGGAGGCAAAAGTCCTGCAGAGGAGGTAACTTTGCGGCAGTTCATGAGACGCCCCATCAAGCAAGAAAGGCTGAACATGGTGACCATGGAACTGTTATCCCAGCTACACAGGAAGTATAACTTGGAGGATTACATTCTTTTAATTTCAAAATGCTGTTTTAAAAATTGGGTCTTGATTCATTTACTAGAAAACCTTATTATTTGAACAATGTGGGTATGCGAATCTCCTTTGCTCCCGTAAAATTTATGAAATCTATGTATGGACCAAGACTTTTTATTGTTTGGTGATGTTTTTGAGATGGGGAACTATGTAAGCCCAGGGTGTTTTTGAACTCATGATCCTACTGTGTCAGCCTCCCAAGTGGTGGAGTTACAAACATGAACCATTACACCCAGTCCTAGATCAAGATTTCTAGAGCAAATTTACATCTGATGTGTGTATCTAAGTGTAAAATACACTTTAGATTTCAATGACTTAGTACAATAAAAAGAATGTATAATACCTCATTAGTAATTTGATATTGGTTACATATTGCAATACAATTTAGATGTACTTTGTTCAATAAAATGTATGATTGGAGATTTATCTCAGGTTTCGTTTTGCTTTTTAAACAGGTAGCTATTGAGAAATCACTCACGTGATTGTTTACAATTATGCTGATTAATCCTGGACAAACTCCTCATTATCAAGGAGGATGCAGATAATGAATGAAGTATGCTAAAACATTAGAAAGTAATTTTGTACTATAGATGAAACAAAATAAAAAGTTGGCTCATGTATCTACCGAGCCATTTAGACCCTCCTAAACAAAAGCAGGAAGGGAAGGGACTTAAAGTGCTGAAATCAAGGAGATCCTACCTAATGAAGAGTCAACAAAAGATGATCGCCTAAAACCTAACCCATCAATGAAAAATATCGATGTCCACTCAATAGCTGAGAAAATTTAATCCTCACTGCAACATTGTTTCCTTCTTGTCAAAGAGAGTCTTAGCACTGACTTCTTTAGTTAAAATAGGAGCTGGAAATAGCTTATAGATCAGCAGGGTATGAGTTTTAGTAAACAAATGGGATAATGCATCAAAATTAGCAAGTCCGTACAAAGAAAAAAAGGGAAGGGGACTCAAATAAGACAGGCTAATAAAGATAACTTGGTTTGGTACCATTATATTACAGCCCTAGGAGATGAATTGATGAAATGTTAGTCAATTTCTATCCTATCGCTTCATTTTCTTTCTCCTAATTCCTTAATTTAAGACAGGCATTAATGTTTCTTTTTTTGCTTTCCTTTTTTATTTTTTTATTGTAAAAATAGTGTACAGAGGGGTAGGCATTAATCTTTCTGTTGGAGAAAGTGTTGTTTAAGTAGCTAAAAAATCTGTGGCCACTTTCAGCTTCCCTTTATATCACTTGTTTCTTGGCTTACTAAAAGCTTGCTTACACTATATAAAAGACATGAGCTATTTTTTCAGAAGAAAAAGACAGTATACATTAAAAGAGTTAAGAAGGACGAAGCAACCAAGTTTTATTTAGAAGAGAGAGAGATGTACAAATACTGTGCAAATAGACATGGTTCTGATTAGGAATGATTCTTTGGATTGTTTCTAGTATGTTATTCAATTATTTATGTCAGGAGGGTGAAGTGTCTCTTCTCTGCAGCAGAAAAACTTGAGTTTTGGGGCTCTGTGGAGTGTGGAAGGGATGGCATGTACGTAGTTGATTCTTTTTGTTGCAGAAGTATATCACCACCTTCTCTTTGATTTTGCTCTCCACATCTTCAATTATGTCTGTAGGTAAACTATAGTCCAGAAATCTTAAAGGGAACATTTCAGAAATCATTCCTAATATTTAACTTATATGCTGTTCTTAGTATCATGATAAAGCAGAGCTATCTTGCTCTGTCTCTCTTGGGATATAAATCATCTTTATCCAGTGTATCCAGGCTACAGAGGCTACCTGTACTAGTCATCTTAATTATTAAGGCCAACTGTCACAGCATCACAGTTCTCTTATCCAAATAACCATTATTTTACTTCATGATGGTCTCAAAGGGCAAGAGTAGCAGCAATGGTGATTTTATTATAGGATGTTGTATTGTTATAATTGTTCTACTTCATTATTAGTTCTTATTGTTAATTTTTTATTGAGCCTAACAAAAATGAAACCTGATTACAAGCAGATATGCATAGGAAAACTGGTGTGAATATATAGGGTTTGATTGTACCCACACCTTCAGGTATCCATTGGGGTTCTTAGCATATTTCCCACACATAAAGAAGAAGTACTGTAATATTGTATATTCAGTATACACATGAGTGTATGATATATGATATATATATATATATCTTGTTTTCTTTCTCTTGCCTCATAAACATGAATCTTTCCCATATGTTCCATGATTTAGTTCTTTGCCCCTCCCTTTTCTAGTCTCTGTATAGCTTTAATCATCACTTCTATGGGAATGACTGAGAGCACATATAGAAACTTACTTGCATAATCAATATTAAATACTTGCTGTGTTTATGGTTTGAATGTCTGTATATTTCTCCAAAATTCATGTTAAACTTAATTCTGGTGATAGTTAAGAGATGCTGGGGCCTTTGGGGAAGTGCTTATGTTATCAGGAATCTGCCCTTGTAAGCAGGATTAATCACCTTTAAAATGAGACTTGGAGAACGGCCTATCCTTCCAAGTCTCATGCCATGTGAGTACATAGTATTCATACCATTATCCTCTTTTGCCTTCTTACATTTGAGAACATAGTACTTCTCCTTTCTGCCACATGGGGGCAATGTGAAATGTTCTCTTAGACACCAACTTGCTAATAATGCCAAGACCTTGAACCTTTATTCATGGTTAATTTTTATTGAGGAAGTCTTGCACAAGATGTCTTTTCATTCCTCCTGCTTTAAAAATTCTCTTTGTCAGTATTATGTTCTTCTTGTGGGGGTTGATCTCAGAGCCTTGCGTCTGCTGGACACACGCTCTATTATTTAGCTCCATTACATCCATCTTTTTTAAAAATACATTTTTATTGTGAAAATACTGTACAGAGGGGTTACAGTGACATGAGCAAGGTAATGAGCACATTTCCTATCAAGCATTGTTGCCTCCTCCTTTGTTTTCCCCCTACTATCTCTTCCCTCCCTCCTCCATAACTACTCCCCCTCCCAACCTAAATTGTAAAGTTCGTTTTTCAACATGGTTTCTTGTACATCTCTCATACCCATCTTTTGATACTTCGAATATAATGTCTCTTTGAGTTCATTCTTCTTATAGATGAAAGACATAGCTGTTTAGTTGGTAATATTTATGTTTTTCATTAAATTTGAATGTTGTTGGCCGTTATAGCTTCAGTCATCCTTTCTATCCCTCCCTCTCTTTCTCCTTCTGGGACTAATATTATGTATATGTTGGGATATTTGATATTTCTTATGCAGGTCTCTAAGGCTTTGTTCATTTTTGTCTTTCTTCCTGGTAGACTACATAATCTTATTTGTCTTATTTTCAAGTCCACTGATTCTTTCTCTGCCTGCTCCCTGATCTTATCATACCTTCTAGTGAAACTTTCATTTCAATTATTATGTTTTCCAGCTTCATAATTTCTATGTAGTTTATTTTTCACAAAGCTCTCAGATAGGACTTCTGCTAACACTTGTATAGTTTCATTTTTAGGGTTTGTCTCTTTGATCCATTTTGAGTTGATTGTTGTTGGTGGTGGAAAAAAGGGATTTGGTTCTATTCTCCTGCATATGTCGATCCAATTTTGCCAGCACCGCTATCTTTTCTCCATGTTATAGTATATTATTGGCACGATGGGAGTGAGGATTTAATTCTGGGTTCACTGTTCTGGCCTGTTGAGTCAGTTTTAGACCTCTACCATGTTGATTTAATAACTATAGACCTTTGGTGTGTCTGAAGTCAGGCATTGTGCTACGTCTAAGCTTTTTCTTTCTTTCTTTTATGTTAGCGTTGCTTGTTCATTTGTAATTTTTTTCCACCTTAGGATGGCTTGAGTATTCTGGATCTTTTGTGTTTTTTTTTTTCTTTTTTTTTTGGGTCTGGTTGTGGGACCTGAACTCTGTGCCTGGGCGCTGTCCC